AAAAAAACTTTTTTTTAAGTAAATCAATTAAAAAGAATTTTTTTTAAGTAAAGGGATTACAAAAGGTTTTTTTTAGTGTTTTTTTAATTCACTTACTTTAAAATTTTTATTATTTAACATATTACTTATGTAAAAAAGATAAAAAAGCTAAAATCGAATTAAATAATAAAATTTAAAGATTAAACTAGGACTTTTTAAAATAAAAAGACTAAAAAATATCTTTTTCGTTTCGCGATGTTATGGGTCCCAGTTTTCTTTGGACTGAAATTCAATTTTCGATGCAAAATTCTTTTTTATTTTTTTGGTATGTTGTCTTTTCACAAAGATGTATATTTAAGGATGGTAAAGCTATTATCGGCCTACTCTGCTTTACTTCTTCAGTTTATTTTTTTTCTGTGTTTGTTACTCTTATCTTTTTGGATAAAGACTGATTGTAGATGCCGTATGGCAGTTTCTTAATGCATTGTTATTATTTTTTTTTTCAAAAAAAAAAAGAAGCTATTATTGGGAAAAAAACAAAGAAAGAGAAAGCTATTGGTATTCTTAGGCTAGTTTGAAAGGGGCAGCATCCTGCCTAGAGTCTCTACCAAAACAGTATCATTGGATTGACTTTTGTATCACAGACTGGGTTAGCTGGCTGAGAAATATGCATTTCAGCATCAGCTATTTATTTGTCTTAGATTATCATTTTTGTGATTATATTGTTTCTATGTATTTACTGCTTATCCAATGCCATATAGGCTGATAAATAGGTCGGCTCTGGAATTAATTTTATGACAAAAATAATGAATTGTGTAGCATTTCTATTACGAAAGGATTATTTTAGTATCAAAAATTAATTTTTAAAGATAATTTTAAAATTTTTTTAAATTAAAAAAACAAATTCAGTATAAATTTAAAAATTCAGAAATTAAATTAATATTTTAACATATTATTTTCCTTTCGAACTTATTATTAGGCACCGGTTGGAAAAAAAAAAAAAAAGAAAAGAAAAAACCTGTTAGGTACATGCTAGTTTTGCAAAATTCTACACGACAAAGCCCAGCTAGATTTGTGGACTTTTATAGTTTTATTTGAATGGCAACCTGGAATGCCTGAAAAATAATGGGGCAGTTATCGGTGGGGACCCAAAATTAAATTTCAAATTTCTTCGGTTCTTACGACTGATGCAGATGGGTTTTATTATTATTTTTAAACAAAAAATATTATTGTATGGCAGTTCCGACTTAATGGTATTAAATTTACTGTATATTTTCATGGGTGACATGTTTGAATCCCATAAATTTTTATTTTTTCTTCATATATACTTGTAAATAATGTCAAAATTATTAAAAAAAACAAAAAAATATTATTAGGATAAGAAGTAACAGTACATCATGGCGGCCGAGCAAAGCAGACCTCATGCATACGCATCAGCACAAATGCACAACCAAAGAAAGCAACTGGACGGAGCGTAGCTGTCAAATCAAATATACAAAGGCTGGGAGAAACCAAAGAGGTGCCCATTTCAGCAGAAGTGGTTTGTCTGTCGTGTCTACAGCTTTTAATTTTCCTTCTTTCACCAAAGGAAGCGACCACCCGAAAGCAAACTCTTTTTTTTTTTTTTTTACAATTTATAATTATTTATAAAATTAATTGGAGAGGAAAGAAAGAAATTCTATAAGAGTTAAACATGTAATCCACAAGAGATACACAGCTCTAACCAGGTCTAATACCACTGGACAAAACGGACTGTTCTGAAAGCAAACTCTATTTGAAATTTCAATTGTCCAAAGTTTAATGGCGGCAAAAGGTGCAGATCACCCCCTTAACTCACCTACTGGTGGCAAATCACCCCCTCAACCTACTTCACGCGCATACTACCCCCTCAACTCACTTTCAGTGGCAAATCACCCCCTCTGTTAACGTTAGCACCATCTTTCCGTTAGCTTTCAACGGTCCGTTAACCCACCTCTTTTTTGCGTCTAATGTGGCATTTTTTATGCTGAGATGGACAAGCCACCTGGACAAATAACCAAAATTTTTTTTATGCCCTTAAATTCTAGGGAAATAAAATTGGGGCTTTGGGGATCTAGGGTTTTATTTTTGACAAGTTTTATATTTCCAGCTTCTATGTCTTCTATCGTCTTCTTCCCCTCTTCATCTTTCAAAAATTGAACATTATTTCTTTAAGATTTGCAATTCATCGAGCATGGCTTCTTCGTCAAGCTCTGAATCATCAATGAAAACATGGCTTTATTTCTGCTAGCTTCTATCGTCTTCTTCCCCTCTTCGTCCTTTAAAAAATTGAACACTGTTACCAGGGCCGCCATTGGGGAACTCTGCTTTCCCTCAACAGGCGTATTTGGAGATCACAATTTTGTTTTGTCGGGGCCGCAATGACGACCAGAAAGGCGAGAAGGTCAAACTCATACAGGAAAATTCTAATGCAAAGGCGAATTCAGAATCAGAGGAAATGAAGCTTGAAGGCGATGCAGTGATGATCTTCGTAGGACTAACCGTAGGCGCTCCTCTTCCTTTGAAGCTCCCCGGCAGCTATCCGGGCTCCATCGGATTCAATTCCGACAGTTCTGTCTATCTTGATGGTAATAAATTCTCTTCATTTTCACCATTTTAAGGAAAAATAAATTAAAAAAAAAACTACAAAATTCATATTTTTTTTTTATGCCAACGTTATCGGCAGGATTGAAAAAAACAACAAATTGTTTTTAATAATTATATTCTTTTAATAAAATATTAGGTAAAAAAATTTAAAGTAAT